TACAGTAACCGTAATCGCGAAAACGATATCAGTAAACAGTTTACTAGCGGTTAGCGCCGGTTACACCGCCAAAACACGCCTATTGTAGTGGATGATGTTAAATTTGAATTCAATGATATAATATCATTGTATTAGAAAAACGGTCAATCAGCTTATGATATTACTAATTAGTATATTTGATGATATATTATTGTGAATAAAGTAATTTATATTATATTAACCTATTTACGTGGAGTGTGGACCCTTGTTTTGAAGTTTCAATCCTTAGCTATAAAAGTTTAACATTCTATACATTTTTAACTACAAAATAATTATTAAATTTTAAAATGATAAATTTTGTCAAAATTCGAACTTTAAATGCTTATAAAAAAAAATTGTGCCCGTATATTTTTAATATTTTTCAACTGCTATTGTTACAATATAATATCAGGATCCTTGCATTACATTTTCACACTTTTTAACTCAAAAAATAACATTTTATTGATTTTTATGGAAAAAAAAACTAAGAAAATTGAAAACTGACAATGTCCGTATACAGCTCAAAAAGAGTCAAGATATTTTGAAAATTGTATCATGTATAGAAAATTCAAATATAAACGATCAGTGAAAATTCATGTCAATTGAATGACATTATGTTCGTTTGTTTTAAAATTACACCAAAAACCAAATTCAATTTTGTGGAGAACCGATTTTCCGTAAAAATTTCTTAATTTTTATGTTGTTTTTTTCCGGCGCTTTTGAAAGCTATTGGGAATTTTAAATTTTGACCTCCCCAGTGCATCAACAATATTCACTTTCACTTCGAACAAAATACTGAAGTTGAAAATCGAAGCATTATTTCGACCACTTATCGTGTACACACAATAAATAAAAAAAAAAAAAACAAACATCATTGTAAAATATACACATTTATCATTCCACTCAGAATCTAAAATAATACATTTTTATAATATTAGTAATAAATATTATAATTTATGGTAATTATATCGTACCTACTAACTAAAATGAATCGATCTGATTCATATTATAGTTATTTACTGGTAAGCCACTCTTCACATATTCTATAAATAATATAATAACGAGTCCATTGTTTTGAAAGTTGTCAATTTATACCGATAAAATAATATTTTGTATATTCATAAATACATTTTAATCATTTTATTACTTATATTTATGATGTATCTATTGTATCTGTGTGTATCTATTTTGTAGTATCTACATTCTACATTGCTAATAATCTAAATATTTTCATTATAAAAGTAGGTAGTATTAATTGCATTTGGAGACCTATCCTTGTTGAGGGCCAAGCATTGCGAAAACAGTTCAGTATGATGCATACTGTATGCTTAGGTACAGGCGGTACAGCAGTATGCTTAGTTTACAATTTTATATTATTGCTACCTATGCTAACAAACTATTTTAATTTTATAAATATAGTATTAATGCATTTTTTTTCAGACCAAAATGAACCAAGATTTTTTTGCTCCAACTACTGTGGAAGATCATACAAAAGTAAACGCTCGCTTTGGCGACATCTTAAATTTGAATGTGGAGTAAAACCAAAATTTAAATGTCATATTTGCAACAAAAAATTTACTGATAATCAATCAATGAAAAGACATGTGATACTGGTTCATAGACATTTGATAGTATAAATAATAACTTATCCTATCTACCTGACTACCTATAGTGTTATTTACTAAATTGTCGTTTGTCAGTTATTGGAAATGATTATACAATTGTATACCTACGAGCTCACAGGTTAAATATATTCATAATCAGTGATTGAATTGATGGTACCTATATACGTATAGTTGAAGTCCCGTATCGTTTTTATAAACTATATAAAATTATATCCTTATTACCTAATAAGACATTTAAATCTTCCGGTAAGCACATTTATTTTTATACTTTTGGATTTCTAATTGTATTCTAAGATCATTCACCGATCATATTAATGGAGTATAAAATACATTATAACATTCATAACACATGATTAATATCTAATATTATAATAAATTAACAGTATAAACTGTATATAGGTTCTCTAAAACAGCGGGTTCCAACCTCAGGTCGTGACCCAAATTACGATGTGGAGGTGTTTATAGTAGTCGCGAGTGCATAATTCACATATTTTTTTCAGAATATTTTTTTCGTGAATAGGTTTTTAAAATAATAAATCTTCCTCAAATAATTGAATAACCTACCTACAAATAAAAATCGAAAAAGAAAATAATAAAATAATATGAATATTATAGCTTCGCGAAAATTTGAATTTAAAATGTATGGACAGGCTCGGAACCACAGCTCTAAAATATAATATACATTTCGTAATTATAATTATTAATAAATAATAAAAATATATTTTATTGCGACAACAATATATACGATATAGTAAACTCAAATAAACATTAGAAGCAATAATAGACGCGAATATTTCAATAAATCATCGAGTGCTCTCTAGGTGAAAAGCCCTCCCCAGTCCCCACCATTAAATAAATAGTGTGTAAAGGCTTTAATTTCATCCATTCTTAATAATAGAGATATGGGCATATGGCCACTAAATTATTATGAACAATACGAAAACATACTGTTACTATTGCTCTATGCCTCTATGCATGAATTGTCTGTTGTTCCATTCATAATATTAATATCCATAAGTCTATATTGGCAAGTACACATTATAATTGAACGTAACGTCACTGTCAAGAGTCAAGACTGAAATGAGCCTAAACTATAATAGCTAGTCTTGAAATTTCCATTATTCCTTTGTACCAGAGAGGTGCACTAAGAAATGATTCTCCAAAATTCGCATTTTAAAGAGGATTATGAGATTCACGATAGAAATCGAACATTTTTTTTCGTTTATAAATGGTTGCCATAAGTTACTTGAGCAGTTAAGGTTAAAGTATTTTTTCTTATTATCAATTTTATCAAAATTTGAATCCGTTTAAATGGATTTTTAAACAAATTTCATTAGGTGCTCGAGCCACCCGCATTTAGATGGCGGCTATGATTGCAAGCATGCTGCATAATAATAATTATGCTTGTGCCTTATGCAATTATGAGTAGAGTTCATAGTAAGATAAGTAGGTAAATCATAAAAAAAATATGAAGCGAAGTACAAAATATGTTAAATTTATATTTTAAATATTATAATAAAATACGAATACAGTTATTTTCGTCTACACTGACATTTCAAATTGGGGAGTGGTTATATTAATATACTAATATAAATATTATATTATAATGTTTTATAACAACATTTTCACGTTTTTATGTTGTAAAAAATTGAAGCGTGGATAAACACCCCCATCCTTCCAAATCCTTATAGGTACGTGTACTGTGTACACCACTACCTATATAAAATATATTATTACTTAGACATACAGGCATACAGGGTGAAACCTTCCCTAACGCACACCTCCCAATAGCGGTCGTTTCATTGGGGAGGGACCTACCAATTACCTACATACTTTCTACAATCCTCTTAATAGCGGACATCGCCGATAATTACGGACGAAAAATTAGCGACTGAGAGAGTCGGGTTTTTAGGGGTTTCACTGTATTACCTATGTAATTATATATGATGAATATCTAAGATATATTATAAAAACTATAATATTGTGTATGTGTTAGACAATAGACATTTAACCAAACAAATTGTACATAATATTATTATAATTTATAATTCATGTTATCATATTGAGATGGATATAAAATATATTTTTTAAACAAGTTAATGACAAAAAAAAATATAAATATATGTTTTATTAATTTGGCATCCTAGTGCACTCGCTCCCTTATGGCCTCGGCGCCCCGCTCGCAGCATGGCCCTGCCTGCTCGAGTGCTCGACGGAAAAACATCATACAGCACTTGAATAGCAGCAGGCGCGTTTTCTTTGCCGTACCGCAATAATAAACGTCGGGTCTTAACGTCTCTAACCGAATGCTCCATAATCGAAACACTGCGCCGCGGGAAACCGACAACCGTTGCCAACGTTGGGACGGATACAGCCGCGTGCGCGCGCGCGCGCCCGACCCCAACATCCGTTCGGTCGCACGATGCACGAATCCATTATGGCGTATTACGCACACACACGACGGGCTGCCGCCGCTATCCGCGTGCGTGGTGAAAATATAGCGAACCTGGCGCGCGTAAAGCCGTAAAGCAGCGAACCTGGTGTGCTCCGACGCGCGCGCGCGCTAGTGTGTCGAGTTTGGTCCTCGTTTTTGTTTTTTTTTTCCACACTTCCCCCTCCCGTCCGCACCCCACCCCAAACCCATCGATGCCCGTTGGCGCGGTGTTCTTCGCTGCGTTACGCACACGCACACGCACACAACACACACGAGCGAGCATTTCTATCGTACGGGTTCCGAATCGGTTTTAAGGTGTGCGTGTGCGTGTGCCTCTTTGCGAGTGCGCGTTGTGTGTGTGTGTGTGTGTGTGTGTCTGCGCGTGTGAGGCTCCGCGTGCGTGCGCGTGTGTACGTGTTGTGTTGCCCAAACGGACGAAAATAATAATATCGTCGTGTAGATCTGCTATTCTGCTGCTGTGGTGGTGTCGTAGTAGTCGAAAAAGAAACGCGTCCGTCTCGCCGTCCGCGCACCACACCGGGCGTTTTCGAAAACGGGTCCGGGCACCGCAACAACGGAGACGATAACACCACGACCGACGTCTAACACCTAAACATTGTTATTATTATTATTATTACTATTATATATATAACAATTCATAGATATATGTACATGTATATCAACATTTTAATCGAACCGACCAGTAGCAGCGCACCGCACACACGTCGTGTGTGATAATAACAATATCATTGTGTGTGTGTATATATATAATAATATTATACACGGTAGGATAATAATAATAATAGTAATAATCACAATAATAATATAAATAATATCATATCGTTTGTGTATGCCGCTGCCGTACGCGCAATAAATAAATAGTGGACTTGATAAAATAATTTGTCGTGATATTAGATTTTTTGCTATTCTTTCCTGCACCGCGACCGCGACCGACCGACCGGGAACCGTTGTGTTTGTGTGGTGTGCACTGTGCACATATCGCTATCGGCGCCGCCGTCGAATTTTTCCACTCGTCGCGATGCCGCGGATCCAGTAGAACGGCGCATCGGACGCGTAGATCCAACGCCAGTACAACAGTATCCGGCGTACCGAGTTTCGCGTAGCGGACCGATCGTCGTCGTCACTCCCCGGCGCGGTGCACTCGTAGTACCCATATCATTATCAGTATCACCGTCGTCATCGTCATCATCATCATCATCATCACCGCCGCCGACGTCCGATCCCGGCGCCCCGCCGCCCGTCCGTGAAAACGTGTGAAAGACCAAAGGCCGCGGCGCGCACGAACCACCGCCACTACACGCCGTCATGTCCGTCAGCCAACAGTTTTGCCTGCGATGGAACAACCACCAGAGGACACTGATTTCGGTGTTCGACAGCCTCCTGGAGAGCGGCACCCTTGTGGATTGCACGCTGGCCGCCGAGGGACGATACCTGAAAGCACACAAAGTCGTGTTGTCCGCCTGCAGTCCGTACTTGGGGGTAAGTGTACAACATAGTGTCTGTGAAATACAGATGACGATAATAATCATATACCTAATGGCAACAACAACAATTTAGCCAGCCCTCTCCCGGGGTGCCCGAATTATATGTGTGATTTACCTACGGCCGATATATTTTTTTGGGCAACGCGACGTTTTGTTTGTTTGTTATTATTAATTATTATTTTTGGGTACGTTGTCCGTCGTCGTCGTAATATCGATGCGATTTTTCCGGCGTTTTCCCTCGATTTTCCCCTCGAAATTCCGCGAGACGATAAAATTCCGTTCACGTTATTGTGATTTCGATTCGGTTACCAGGATCTCACCGCGGTCGGGTTTTAATTATTTTGCGTGTGTGTGTGTGTGTATACATTTTTTAGGGCATTTCCGTTTTGTTTTGGCCTACTTACGCGCGTGTGTTTGTAGTGTACGGTGTCTGCACATGATTTTCACCAGGCGGTATGAAAACCAGTTCCACACCCCTTCACTTTTTTTTTTCATTCCTTTTTCCTGTCCCGTTATTCGCGCACACAATGCGATGACAAAGGAAATTTCTCTTTTTTTTTTCTTCTCTCTCGTCTTTCGTGTAGATCGAATTCTCTACGATTGGCAAATATTTTATTGCCAACGGACGACGACGACGACGATGATAATGATAATAATAATAATAATAATAATAATAATAATAATAATAATAACGAATTAATATATACACGCGCACACGCACGTATTTATTAATAATTTATAATCCAATTATAATATCCGTATAGGCATGCACAAAATTTTATATTTTTTTTTTAGTCGTGTAGGCAGGTAACACACACTTTTTTTCATTAATATTCTATTGACACCTTAGAATCCAATGTGAATAGACAAATTAATTACCTGTAGGTACCTACTTTGTTTTGTAGATAATAATATTATGTCTTTACTTTGACCGCAAGTATTGTAGAATTGATAACAAGTCGGAAACACCGAGCACCCGCTTGGGGAAAACATTAAATACACACGATAAAATTTCCATCGATTTTCCCAGCCGCGTTGAATAATTTTCATGTTCATTGTGTAGGTATGTAACATATTTTTATCTAGGTAGGTACCTATTATATGATAATTGATAATAATATAATATACACAATTTCGATGCCTAAACCTATTATTATGTGTAGGTATTATCTATATAGGTAATTTAAAATATAAACAATGTATGCACTTACTACTTAGGTGATTGTATCAATTTTATCAGTTTAGATATACTTATGCAAATTAATTGATTGCTTGATACACTTTTATTAGGTTCTACTTACTAACTATATTATTGTATTAGATACATATTTAATGTAAAAGTATCAAAATATTCAAAATGGCTAGAATAGGTACCTGTTAATATATATTATTCACAATTATTTTTGTATTAAAAATGAAATGATTAAAGTCATAGGTAGGTATATTGATTGTTATTGCATATTATTAAAGATACTTTGATACCAAGTAATTTTATTTCCTTATTAAACATACGTTAGGTAGTCATTAATATGGCATAAATATAAAGACATAGCTTATCATATTAAAATGGTTAATATATAAGTATTTTGCATAAATTCTTGACAATATGCAATTATTTTCTATAATATATTACCCACATATTTTATGATAATACATTTAGCAATGTACATTTGTTCTTATTTTAATTGAACTATCCACCTGAAAGTATTTTAGAAAATTAATAATTTTTAATTATTATAGTGAAAATGTAAATATAAAAACATTTAAATTAATAGAAAAAATAGGTATCATTATTATTGATCTTTCTTTTTTTAATTCTTCCATAAATTTCCTTTCTCCTTTTTTAAACTTGCTTCCTAAAATATTTTTAGCTGAGCCCTACCCTTCTAGACATACCTTTCTGATTTCACTTTCTTGAAAGCCCTCCACCATTTCTGCTTTCATATTCATACCAGTACATTCTCTTTGAATAGTTTTACTAAGCGCCCAGTTAAATTTTCCATATGAACCTTCTAAATGTAGTAGTGTACCCATTAAGTAGAATTTTATATTTTAATGACTTAGGTATAAACATTAAATTTGGTTAGAGTTTTCGAGTCATTCATTCAATAAATGGTACTTGGGTTATCTCAAATACCTACCTACTAACTTACCTACCTACCCTAATAATATCAAAAATCAGTATTTCCATATTTTTTATAATTTATTAATGTAGGTGCATAATTTTTTATACCTATATTACCTACCTACCTTAATTTAAAAAGATTTTAAGAATCAAGTTGCTGACCTAAGTGAAATATATAAAATAATTTTAAAATAATACCTAACAATTAATCTTATTTCGGTGGTTGATCATACCTACCTGATGATTAATATAACATTAAATTGAATTTAAAAAATATTATAGGTAGTATTAAATCAAAAGAAAACCATTACTTAATATTTAATCTAACAAAATAAATAAATAAACATTAGGTACCTTAAAATTAAGGTTAGAATATTATATGGGTATATATATACAGAACATGATTTATGATAATAAAATGTGGTAAAATATAACGTCTGATATTATTATACCTAATCGGTAACCTAACAAAAGAAAAAAGATAGTTATGGTACCTAAGCCTGATATTGCGGTCGTTGCAATAACCCGTATGTCGATGAGTATAGAAATATACTTAGAAATTAAAATAGTCTTGCTGAGGTTAACCTTGAAATACCCAATAAATATATCACGACATTTATAAAATAGAATTTCACTAGACTGATCAATTTAAGATCCATATAAAGATATATTTACATTGCATTAGTTAATTATTAGTTAATTTCCTGTAATAAATATTTGAGGGATACCTACACTATCACAAATGTTGGCGATGAACTAATTTGGCTATACGTTGGCTATATTGTTATCCTAACATAGATAGGTAGGCACTTCATTCTATATAAATGCACAAAGTGAAAGTTATACCGAAATAATTAATGATGTACAATTTTAAGTACCTATTAGAAATTCTACTAACACTCAAACTTCCTTGCTAAAACACAATAATGAATTTTCTATTATGATCTCTTTTCCAGAGTAAATTTTCCAATAGTAAAACTCTTCAAAAGACTTTATTAGAGTAGTTCAGTCCCTAATATTAAGTGATAGTATTTTATAAATATTCAATAATATAGCTAATAGTAGGTACCTATTTTTTTTATTTTTTTATTAAGAAAATAACTAAAATATTATGTTTATTATATATTTATATATTTGTTTCTATAATATTTTTATATTAGGTAAGATTATAATGTTTTTGGTTTAAAAGTATATTTCTAAATTCCTATTCTTTTTTCTAACTCGTACCTATTTCATTTTGTTTATTTGCTTAAAAACATTTAAGCTATCTTATGTGTTGTATTCAATTGATTCTAAAAATGTCTGTTATGACTATCAATTGTTTGGATAATGCATTTTCTAATACTGCCTAATTGAAAAAAAAATTAGCTAGGCACTTGATAAAATATTCACTCTTTTACCTAGTTATACTTACATAGTTATGAACTCGCTTATATATATTTGCCTAGGTAGTGTGGACTAGTGTTAGTAGATTACTTACCCAATCTTACCCACTTAATATGAAATTTGTGACAATAAACTCTATTAACATGATGAAAACTACTATTATTTTTTTATTATTTTATAAAAATATTCTTGATTTACTACATATTTCTTCTTAGTAAGATTTGTAGTTTTCTAACAATATTTAAAAGACATACCTATTGTAAAGATAGTTTGTTGATTAAACTTGTGCTTAAACATTATATACCTAAGTATGTTGCAATAAATTTTAACATTATTTTTACATTTTGTTTAAGGTTTTATTAAGTCAACATCAAGAGAAACTCCATCTTAATTTTGAAAGATATCAAATTTCAAGAATTAAAGTCAATGCTGGATTATATGTATCGAGGCGAAGTCAATATTTCTCAAGAAGAACTTGGTACATTTTTGAAAGCTGCTGAATCACTTCAAATCAAAGGTTTGACAGAAAGTGCTGGTATCGGGGTTCGTGATAATTCCGATTTTGAAGACCCAGTATCTAAACGTTTTGACCATAGAAAACAACCACCTTCTTTATCATCAGTTAGTTCTAACTCGCCTACCATTTGGAGCCAAAATGAAACTGTACGTACATATTCAAGACCAAGAGAAGGTAGTTTATCTCCAACCAGCAAGAAACGGAAATTACAACGAACAAATGTATCAGATGATCATCATCCCGATAATGGTGATGATATTATGACTGAATCTGAACCTCAGGTAGTAGAAAATCGCCAACTAATAATAATAATAACATCCCTTCTTCAGTTAGTAAGGTAATTAAAGCAGAACCTTACCGTAAATCGTGTTCACCAGACAAAGAAGTTGCTATAAAACCACTGAAAATACAATAATTAAACCAAAAGTAGAATCAATTTCTGGTGACCGGCAAGAATGTTGACAGAAATGTCATATGACGATAGTTGTAGAAGATATGGCTTTAGAAGAGGAGGAAGAAGACATTTGACGAAAATGAATTATCCAACCTGGAACTTCGCAAGGGAGACCATCACACCGGTAAATAATTTAAAATAAATAATATTTAACTAACCTAATGTACTGAAAAAAATTGTATTTAATATACATAAGAGATTCTCTATTTCTCAATTTGTTTTATGATACAAATAAGATATTGTTACTCTAATTTCTATTAAAATGTATTCTAGGGTAATCCATGTAGCATTCAGGATATATCATTTTTTCTAAGAGTGTACTACTCATGTTCTACTCATGT